GTGAGAACCGTGACCCTCCTGTGGCCAGGGACACCCTCACAATTACCTGCTTCCTCCAAAGACTGAGTGAGTGACTTGTATTCTTTTATATGATTTTTGAGTCTAGATTATGATTGTTATATTGATACAGCAAACCACATAGTAAGATTTGACCTTGTCTGCAGAGGGTCCAGGTGATTAGAAATTATAAGTTAAATTGTATTATACATATGCATTGCACTATATGACTATACATACATTGCACTATATGACTCTACTGGTAGAAGCCCTGTGCCATTCTAATCATAAATTCTGTGCTATACTGATCATAATATCCTGCTAAGAAAATAAAGCTTTAATTGTAACTACAATTCAGTGCTTTCATTCTGCCAAGGATCCCTAAAAGAATCTGTCTGTCCCCTTAGTGTCAGGTGACACTAGGTTAGAAGATGACAGTTTTTCTGTACCTGAGACTTATTTGGAATATACTTTCCAGTAGCTGTGCATGATGGGGGAAATTTTCAAAAACATACAAATTGCTTACGAGTCTGCACCCTGGTGGAAAAGACAGTTAACAACCAGAATTCCGGGGATCTCGTCCAAATGTGAGCCATGCTAATATGGGCTAATCCAAAACTCCACTGATTGTTCTTGACTGAGAACATAAATCTTAGTCCTATCAGCGATGCTACAGAAAGCCAATTCTAGAAGTAGCATCTTTTCAGAACAGAAAGCTGCAGCAGCTACAGGGAAGTGCTGAAGTGAATTCCATGCTAACTTTTATTACTGTAGCTATTTAAAGCTCCAGTTCACAACATACAGGTATAACAACAATGGTTAATGTCAACTGCTCACAAAGCCAGGTGCTTCTTTCCTCACCACTTCCCAGTTCTTCCCCAACTCCTCTCTAGTAAGAGGCACAGTAGAAAGGATATGCATTCACTTCCTTGTCCACTAGCACTATTGAGATAAAAGCTCTGAATTATGAGCTGCATGAGTTACTGTGAGAAAAGCAGCACATGCAGTAGTTTTAGGAGGGATTAAGTAACTGGAAAATAATCAACTCTAACAACAGGCAGCTCATTTCCACTTAATACATGTTTATCTTTAATCTGTTAAAATAATCTGAACGTGAAGTGGTATGTTTAACATTTTTACCAGCCTCTGGCTTTTAAATATTGGGTGTCTATATTCAACATTTTTGTGAGACAGACAACAAATATGTTAGAGGAATCAAGAGGACAGCAGTGAATAAACACAGTTTTATCATTCTAAGCAGCTTTCAATATAAACTGGAGCAGCTTCTCATCAGCATCACATTCTAAAGCAAGGCCTGTCTAGCACTAGCTGCTCAAATATAAAGTCTAAAGAAATTTTAAGTGCTATTAGGTGAACAATTTATGACAATGCAAAATTCCACCCAGTTTTTTTTTATAACACTCTCCCATTTCCCAGGGTTCAGCTTTACTGACAAATTAGAGTATGTGAGGCTAAAAACTTGTTCTAATTTTAGCTTTTGCAAGATTTCTCTTCACAGACTGGTCGTCTACAAACGGCACCCCCAGCCCTTTAAATCCAAGCTGAAAATCAAATACCTGTACAAGCAGATCAGAAAATTTGCAACATTACAGAGATCCAATTACAGTAAAAGTTGAAATTTTGCCACCTTAGACAAGGAAAGTCAAAAGACTATTATCTCTATAGGCGTTTATACAGGTCCTCCAAGGGTTAAAGAAAAGATTCTGAGCTATCTAAACAAAACATAATCAAAATTTGCTTTTCACAGCAAAAATATTGCTGCCTGCAGTCACTTTAACTGTAAGCCCAGTATTTCAATTAAAACCAACTGATCAACATTCAGATTAGACTATATACCCCTGAAAGCACGTGCACCTTTAACTGTAACTGTATTGTTAAGCTACACATAATTGTTTTTACATTGTCCTTATGCCCCCAACTCTCCCCCTTCTCCTGAATGAGTTTCATCTGGTCATCCCAGATTTAATGAGGACAACTGCCTTTTATGGCAAACAGTTGGTAAAACAATATAATCTATTCCCAGGTGTCAGGAATTCATACTTTTTCAATACTCTCCCACTCCCAAAGCACAAAGTTCCACCAGACAAATAGCTGAAGCCCTGATAGAAAAGGAAAAGGGTTGTTTGGGGGTTTTTTGGTAAAGATTTTATACCAAGTTTTGTTAAAACAAACAAACAAAAAACCCCCACACATCTCCATTCATATAATTTTCCAAAAATAGCCAAGTTAGTTTTATTAAGTACAAGAACCAACCTACTAAATATTTCTTTGATTAAAAAGATCTGTTACTTTAATTTCTTGCAATAATCAGTAAGAAACGTTTTCCAGAACAGAATACACTAAGCAAACTTACTGGTTCTTTAAATGCACTGTATCTCTAGATAAAAATCAACATTCAAGGTAAAGAAATATTTTGTGACATACCCTTAATACAAATTGCTATTGAGTAGGCTACAAGACTAATCACATCACTTTGATGCCTGCTTATTAAAAATTCAGTTATTGCCATACATTTTAAAATTGTATTTTATTTTTTGCTTATTATTATCCTCCTTTCTTAGGTCTATCCTCAAGTACTTTTACATATACGCTGCAAGCTTCATATCTTAGCAGAAGTTCCTTGTCCTTCAGTATATTCTCTAATTTCAGCAGATGCATACATAACCTTCACGTGCCAATCTAGAGCAAAAAAATAAAATAAATTCTTCCTGAACATTAACAGGCTAGTGTAGCACTACCAGCAATACAACACTTTCCTCACATAGAAACACCACCATGCTTGCTCATTGTGAAGAGAAGTTGCATAGCTGTTTTTCAGCTGGCCCCATTTCTGTCCAAATTAACTCATAACCAGAAATTCCTTAGGTAATAGCAGAAATCTACAGAAAGGGTTAATCACACTTTTATCTTACTAAAACTAGGACACTTTTATACAGGAAGTCTGCTCAACATCCCATTTTATCTGCAATGCAAATAAAATGCTCAGAACTTTCCCATCAATACATAATTCCACTGGAAAAAAAAAAATAGTATTCACATACTCTAAGCCAGAATTAATTCTCAGCTCACTGTGTTAGCCCTGAAGTACAATCACCATAATATACATTCGTTAAAGCATATCTTATTTCAGTTAAACTGATTTCAGTATTTTAATCTAAAATTAACTGGTGCAGAGCTAATAAATTTTTTCATTCATTACAAGAATAAACATAATTTAATTAATTATTAAAATGTGCTTTTTAAGTATAATAAAAATTAAGCCATTGGATAATGCACTTTTCCACATAACTAGATGAAACAAATTGCAAGTGCCAGTCCTCCTACCGTCAAAATAACACCACATTGAATCACTGAATTTTCAGAAGGTACCTGAACAGCTTGAATATTCACTGATCATTACATCAATTTTTAAAGAGATCTCTCTCCAAAAAGATTATTTTGAAACGTCTGTGGAAAGCCTCACTATGGAAATACCTGTTCTATACTTCATGGGAAATAAAAGCACAGAACTGGTATTAATGGAACTTGTGTTAAAAAAGGGCAGTAGGTTTTAACAGTTCAAATTGACTAAAAAAGCAAATTAATTGAAAATTCTCCTTTTAAACACATTTAACATGGTTAGAAATAGATGGTTGCCTAAGAAGTCATAACCTACATTTTTTCATCCATATACCA